GCTATGTAAATAACCAGAGGGTAACCATCCAAATTCCAGGATCCAGTTCCAATCTGGCGTCAATTTAAGGGTGTCCCCGCCCCACCCCAAATTGTGGTTTTTTCGTGCGCGGATGGCCGGCCGCCCCAGCGACCCCTCCTCCAGAGACCGAAGCTGGTCCAAAAAGTTGGTCCTACAGTCGATCTCAGGACGCTTCTCCTGAGGGAAGATGAAATGTGGATCTCAGGGAGGATAACTACTATTTTGATATGGATTTTGGGATGTGGATGTAAAAAGTATCATAAAAGAATTTGGTGTGGATAAACACATACATTCCATAAGACATAAACACAACTTTTGGGATGATTTGATATGGATTTGATATGGATTTCATATGGATTGACATACATCTGGGTAAAGCCATTTGGGGATGATTTCCCTTAACCATGATTCCACTGAGGTCGCAGTGAAGTCGGTATAATTGATCCAAATACATACAAACACACATATATATATGTGTGTGTACATATGGATGAATACAATGGTTAAAAATGTGGTTAACAATATGGTTAATAATATGGTTAATCATGTGGTTAATAATATGTTTGATGATATGGTTGATAATATAGTTAATAATATGGTTAAACGGATATAGTTAATATGGTTATATGATTACATATATATATACATATGTGTATATATATATGTGTGCATACATATAGGATCACATAGGTATGATTGCATATGCAATGATAACATGTAATGTGGGCAGAACTTATTGCATTGTATATACACTGGTTGCAATGTTATGATATATTGCATTTGATATACATGTAAGAATGTGTTGAACCATAATATGGATTCCTATATGTATGTGGTTGATAGTATGGTAAAACATATTGTACTATCTTTTAAGATGGTGAAATACATGTGGTTCTGTGACTACATAAGAAATTGGCTATATGATACCATATATGCTATATGGTGTATCAAAATGGTATAAGTATATGAATATGGTAAAATATATGATTTATGATGAAATACATGGTTGTTTTTGTGGCCAACCGGCCAACTAGAACCAAGGACGGCCTTGAGATGCCAGTCAAGTCACCTTGATGGACAGAAGGGCCTCAGAAGACTGATGGTGGGCTCGGCTAATCGTCGTTTTTCTTTCAAGAGTGTCAAATGCAGATTCCCGCCAACAGTTGATTTTCATGAATTCTTCCAGTTCCAGCACACCTGCCATTCACCTGTCAGTTTACCCAGGAATCCAAGTTGTTTACTGGTCAAATATGTTAAAATCATATAAAATCCATGTTATTTTCTGGTTAAACGGTTAAATCCCATGATTCCTGGTACAATCCCATGAAATCAGCTCCGAAACCCAGCGATTTCGCCTTTCCCAGGGAGATCTTCTCCTTTTGCATCAGAAATGCCGCCACCACGGCCACACTGCAGGAGCGGCCCGGGTGCAGTGCACCAACACCTGCCAGCTCGGAATCTCGAAACTGAAACCAGTCAACCAAACGAATAAACTTGTTATCATATCAATCAAAGCCAAAAAAAAATAATTATTCATATTATATCACATTATATGAATTAAAAAAACATATACTTAGGATGGGTGTATCATCTGAATATAATAAGTAATACTGAATAGAAAAAGGGCTCCAAAAATGCTATCTTCATGTCTTTTACTCGGGATACTGATGATTGATCCATGGATGGAAATTATATAATCCAATCAGTTGGTAGGATTCTTAAGCATGATGGTCCCCCGTATATAAAGTTTTTTTAACAACGCCACCCCCACTTCTGCAGCTGTCCTGGTGTATTTCTTCACCAGCCGAATGCCATAAGCCCCAAACTTCTCAAGCACCTTGGTGGTTTTTTTTTCCACATGGGTATGGTGTAACCATTATTAACCAATACCTATAATATATATTTTTTTTACCCCGGGGGTGACCCTTTCTACCAACGATGTAAGCACCCCCAGGGCTCCCAACCCAGCCGATGAAAACTTCCAGCAATCCAACGCTCCCGGCAATGCTGAGATGCCCCTGCTGCCACAACCTCCAGCTGTCGGCCCACCTGCGCAACGGCGCTAAACAGACAGAGAGAGAGAGAGAGTGAGAGAGAAAGAGAGAAAGAGAGAGAGAAAGCAAGAGAAAGAGAGAGAGAGAAAGAGATATAAAGAAAACGAGAGTGAGTGGTGCATTTACCTCCGTCGTAGGAAAACCATAGGAAACCCATGCGAAACCATGGGAAAACCAGGGGAAAACCATGAGAATTATCATAGTTGATATCACCAAACCGATGATCGTCAACCATAATCATGATGATGGGAGTAAATTGCTAATACCACCAGTAAAATCCCATTTTTATATCATTATTACAACATTGTCGCAATGGTATAGCAATGGGATATCAACGATAATAGGGTAATGGGATAGTAAATATATGGTTGGTATATGGTATATAGTTTATAATAAATAGTATATAATGGGATAGAGTGTATCAAAGGTATATATAAGATATCGTGTAAACATGGCATGGGTAAACATGGTGAGTGCTCATGGAAATTCATAGGGATTGAGGTACAGCTATAACGAAACATGGAGATGTACTGGGAATGAAACATATTCGTCTACTTTCTGGAAATTTGTTACAAAGTTATCATGGAGTACGCCATTTTGCAGAACTGGGAACCTTCTGACATTGATAGATCTTAAACCTTCACACCCCATGAAATAAACACTGACAGCTCAGCATAAAAGGTTCTACCCTGTGTGAACGCAAAGGGTGCGAATAAGGCTGCTTATTCGCGCCCTCGACAGCCTTCATTTTCTGCGCTCATTTCGTAAAATCTTCGATCGCGAAGCATTTCCCTAGACGGTATCTTTTAGTATCATGGTTGATATCCCCTAACCGATCGTCATAAACTATAAGCACGATGATGATGGTGGTAGTACCTGGCGAACCATCGTGATAATAGTAATGATGGAATCATGGGATTATATACCACCGATAATATGATACTCGGCCTCTGGGATAGTGCCATGATATAACATTAAACACATGTTTATTTTCTGGTGTATAGTCTCTATATATCATGGGATAATGGAATTATACATAGTAAAACAATAATGAGTATATATGACTGTCTGATAAATACATAGTCATTAAAATGGGAGTATCATATAATGGGGATGATAATGGGGATCATGTTCTTATCTGGTGGTTTATATTTAGAAACCATACATATATTAGCACATATATATATGTATATATATATATATGCAGGTCATCATGATTTCTTATTGTTATATAAAGGGGGTGCTAGCATTGGGATTACCACATCTATCATAGATAGTATGTGTATATATATATTGTATTATATATCATTTAATCTGTATATATTACATTTCTGAAATATTAGTCGTCATGGTGGTCATAAAACGCTTGGCAGACGTTGAGTAATGCCCTTGACCAGCTTAAGTAAGAATAGTCCTCCGCTGAGCACAGTATTTTTCTGCTGTGTTTGGGTTTGTGCTTGATTATCTCTCTTGACTATGGTCAACAAAGCTACGTTCAATCCTTTCAAGAGATCAATTTCCAAGTTCTAGAAACTCGTTCATAGCCCCTGTCAGTCCGCAGGTTTCCCCAGTGCCAAGCCCCAAGCCATTTGTTCATTTTCCATGATGGTCCGCTTGGTCGTGGAATCCAACTGGTCCTCATGGCAGCTGGTGATCATAGTGCAATATGTGTGTATATATATAGATTAGATCTATTCATGTTGGGTCCAAAATGTGTTATATATATATATATGTATATATATGTATATATATATATAAGATCTATTCTGATTTGGGTCCAACAGTTCATTTTTGGCGCTTGTTTTTTCCGGCCCAACTTTATGGTGCGACACGGCGACTATCGAAGCTCCTTGGTTCTCGCTCGAAGCTTCGCTGCCTCAATCTCCACCTTCTTCTCAAAGTCCTGACGTTCTGCGAAAATCAACACCGATAATGTGGGGTAAAACATGGTACCCTCTGGTTATTTACCATAGCCATGGAAAATGGCCCATTTATAGATGGTTTACCTATTAAAAATTGTGATTTTCCATGGCATGTTAAATAACCAAAGGGTAAAACATGGTAAAACAATGAAAGCAATGCCATAAACCATCCATGCCTGGGAATGGTAAACATACCACCTATAAATATGGTGATTTGGGAGATGGTTTATGATTCTTTTACCCACATTAGATTAATTCGTATTAGATTGCATTTCTGAACATGCCAACTTTCACATTAATGTATGAATTGGATTGAATTGGTTGAAACATGCATTTATATAATCGTGTTTATGAACATGATTTGTTTAGCAGTATTATGTGTTTTCCAAGATAAAGGGGTGTATTTTTTTGAAGGTTTCCCTTCAATTCCTACACCGACATTCCTACAACAATGGGAATCCACGAGGTGAAATCGTACTTGAGAAATCCCCAAACCACTTGTGAAATCAGCCAGACCTTGCTGAGCGTTCGCATATCCATGGCTTTCTTTCGGTCAAAGTCGCTCATCTTTCGTTGAAATTCCTGCAATGTGAGCAGAACTGCTGCAAGATTGGTGGAACTAATATGTTGGCAACGCAAAGTATTTTTTTGCAAAACTAGCCATTTTTCTAAAATGGCCACTGTTGTGTCAACTTCAGGGCGTTTTTCGATTACCAGTTCAATCCCAGTATCATGGCCAGCCTTAGCTACATATATGTATATGTATATATATATATATATATCTATACATGTATATATATATATATAAATATGTATGTATATATGATATTTTATGATATTTTATGATATAGTTATATTAATCAACGGTTTTCCGCAAAAAAAAAACAACTCATGTGCTCAGATAATGAAAATCAAGATATTCCCCATGGCGCCTCTTTCATGTCGGCCAACTGAAGCCTCCCACTACAAAGGCTTCTTAAAATGTCTTACAGACAAAGACGTAAATCGTCGCGAAACGGCGAAATCATCTGTGATCATCTGTGACTTTACCATTTCCAGGACCAACAGGCGAAATCTACCAAACCTCGCAAAAGTGGTCCAAAATGTCAAGTTCTGAGCCTCACGCGCCACAGAAGAGATCCTTCGCCGATCTTCCGATGCGTGCAGCTGAGGAAGGCTCTCAGTTCCTGCAATGTCACAACTCTCGGCACCGCAACAGAACCAATCAGCTAGTTGCAGCTACAAGTAGTTGGTTGCCTAGACTTCTGCTCGCAACAGCTGGTGGAACAAATGCTGGCTGCGTCCTTCACAGAAGCTTCTGTGTAGCACCCAGCAGGGACTTTGAATTCAATGTGATCCATGGCCGGACAAAAAGCGCAAACAACCCTCGCTATTGCGGGTGAAATTTGTCCCAGTGTGCCTGTGCTGCTACTTCTCACACTATCGATCCAAAAGCTGCAAAAGCATGGCACCAGACAGCCTTGATTCGGCAACCAAGCAAGATTGAACCACTGATATAATTATGTTTCTACTCTGGCTTTGTCATGTCAGCCCCTTAGCAGAATTGCACCCATGTATACATAATCAACGCACACCTAACTTTGCAGTGTATAACCATACATATATATATGTATAGATATATATATATCTTTATATATGCGTGTGTGTGTGTGCTTCAGGGCCATGGAGAAGCTGATCGCAGGCTCAGCCCAGGGGTCGGCGGCAGGGGGCGGAGCCCCTTAATAATAATAATAACAATAATAATAATAATAAGTGTGTATTATCTTATCTACCATTATTTATATACCCACCCTTCGAGTCCCTTTATTGGGACGCCTGGTTCTATCTAAACACCGCACCTCACCAGCTCGCGTTTGGCCCGGCTCCAGGTTGGAAAGCGTCACCTCGTCCTGGCACTGCCGTCGCCAGGAGGCAGATCTGGAGGTGGGTCAAAATGGAAGACCGATGTGGGACCACAGATGTGAAAGTCTAGTTTAGGGATTTAATGGGATTTAATGGGATTTAATGGGATTTTATAGTGATTTAATGGGATCTAATGGGGTATACCCTCTGGTAAACTAACATAGCAATGGAAAATGGCCATTTATAGTGGATTTACCCATTAAGAATGGTGATTTTTGATAGCTATGTTAGTTTACCAGAGGGTAAGCAAAGATGCTGTTCTCTCTATGACATTCACTGGAGTGGTTATGAATTTCTAGGACATTGGCCAGTGGCTTTATGAATTTGGGTTTGTCTGAAGAAATCCTCAAATTTGATGTTTGAGAACATTCTTTTCTCAATTAAAAATAGCCTTAAAGGGCGTAAACAAATCCCAACATGTTCAAACAACCCCCACAGTGAATCTATCCAATTATATACCTATTGTAAATATCACCATAGCATAGTTGGTTTATCGGTTGATATCGGTTGCCCCGTATTTTTTGTTGGTTTTCCACCATGAGTTTTCAGCAGCAGCATCATCAAGCACCTCCTTCAAATCCAGCTCCACAGCCAAGCGCACACCCTGCCAACTGAAGGTCTTCACATGTTTGTTTCATGGGAACATACCCAAGAAATGGTAGAGTTCTGCCCAGTACGTACAAGTTTCATCCATTTAGTGATATTAAAGGTGGTTATAAAATGAGGATAGAAGATGGATGAAATTTCTGGCTCCGTTTTCAGCTGGTTTCAATGGCATCTAGGGCCAGGGTCTTTTAGTGGCCTCTACCAACACGTCCATCAAGGAAAGGATGCGGAAGAATGGCTCGCCTCAGCACTTGCTAAACGGTTTGGGGCTCGGAGATTCTGGTTCTTTCCCGGGAAACATCTTGTTTTCACGTGGGTTTGACCATCTAAAACCACTGGGACCCGGAAGCGGGCTCCCTCTCCAACGAAGTCCTGCTCTGAGGCAATGGCTTTTGCCAGGCAACTCCTTGCCGCGGGAAAATCCCCCATAGTTCAATGATTTTCCTAGCTATAACCCCATTGTAAGATGTGTAGAATAGGATTTTCAATTTTCACTTGCCATGTTTGATTATCAGAAGGTAACCCAGAATTAATTGAGGAGGGGCACCGATTATTGAGTGAGAAAATTGCGATTTTGAGGGAATCCCCTCAATTAACAGTCAAGGTTTACCATTGTCCGTGGATGAATGGGTCGCTCTGAGATGTTCTGAGGCCCTTTGACAAACAGAGAGGTACTCTTTGGATATCTTTGGATCAATATGTTTTGTTCCATTTCCATCCATTTCCTATCTTCACATCAACCATCACCATCCCATTCGCCAACCCTTCACCAAGCTCTACCCTGCCATGGCACGCCGCGACGTAGCGGTCTGCAAGCTCCAGGAGCATCGACCTGCTGAGAGAAAGGTCCGACAAATCTCAGCGGATCAGAGTGGATCACGTTGATTTTCCACCCGCATCCTGGGTAAAGTCTAGCGTATGAGTCTCTGAGCCTGGTGTGTGAGTGACCCATTGTTCAGGCTTAAATGGGTTAATTGGTTTGACCATGTTTGACCTATTGACCAGGTCCATGGGGATCACCATGTCAGGAGATCCGTCCAACCTTGAAAGCCACCCCATCATCTGGGCTCACCATCAAGCCCACCTGGCAAATCGGCAAGGCACTGCAACACTTGGGTGCCTCCGAGAGTGAAACCAATCGTCCAACCCTAGATCCCCCAGAATTGAGCACCGGAAGTCTTTGGATGTCTTTGAGCTGTCTAATCATCAATATTAAACACCACCCATTTTTGCCTGATTTAGAAGGGGATTGAAATATGGGATATTTAAGGGACCATCAAAAATGATTGTGTGTTTCATTAATGAACCGGGGATGGGAGATAGCCAGCATCCAGGTCACCAGGTCCGGTGTGGCATCCATGGATCCACGGGATCACCTCCAACAAGAAGGCCGCATCTCCACTCGTGTTCACCCTCAAGTCCAAGCGATAGGTCCCTTCACCTGCCAGGGCTGCCAGGGAGGTGTGTGTTTTTTGAAAACGGATTGAGAAGGCGGTTTCTGCACCCCAAAGTCATGTAGTTGGCCATGTAGTTAATATATAGGTTACGGAATCCTATGGAAAAGAATTACCATGAAACAAAACAAAACTAACAGTAATTCCTAAGAAAACCATGAAACACATAATTACTAAACTAACAGTAATGGTTCGGAACAGTTCTATCTTCTCTTGTATTCCACCAGAAATCAACCTTTGGGACCGCAAACGAACAGCCTCTTCGCATGGGACAACTGGATGCCAGCGCTTGCCGAGAACCGCCAACCACCTGCAGCTCAACAGGTGGCTTCAAAAAAAGTCATCTCTTCTGATCCCTGACTCTTTCAATGGTCCTCATTCTATTTCATTGCAGTTTAACATTTCTTATTTCTCATTCTTTCTAGAACCACTACGGTCCCTGATGCATAGTCATAATATATAGTAGCCAATGTGGCGCGACAACCATGACACAGTGACCGACCAGTCCAGGGCCAATCGGGTGAATTTGGCCTTCTTTTGCCCGGCCTGTTCTTCCAAGGCTGAATTCCAACCTCTGAACCGAGCCAAAGGTTAAACCACCCCTGCTCTCCACTTTTTTGAGGAAACCATTGGCATGTCTGACTGACATTTCAGAATCTCAACTAGCGTTCCCAAGCAAGTTACACTTTTAGTGATTCAGGATTCAGGATGTTTTTGGTATTTTCTAGTGATGCTGCGATGCTTGAATCGTCATACATCTTAACTCAACTCACGTCCGACCGTGCCAAATGGCAACGGAGATGTTCTCAGATGTTCTCAGTCACTCGCATACCATCGCAGACTCTCGACCTCGACATGAGAAATGAACTCTGCAAGCCAAGGATGGCATGACAGGATGGAAGATCTGCCATTTGCGAAATCATTTTGGTGCTCCCTCACTGAAATCCTAGATCACTGATCTAGGTACGCGGAATCATCTGCATCACCACTAGAGTGGCTTAAATGTGAAACCAGAGCATTCAGAGCTGGAAAACATGCCTGATTTGATGCCCACAAAGAAAGAGTTTCGACATTTACCTGCCAAAAGAATCGGCTTGGGACCCAAGAAGTGTCTCTGAAAGACTCCAGCACAGAATTCACCACTGGGCACTCCAACAACGGCAATGCAATGCCGCTGTGTCATCGAAGGCTTTTAGGGCCTAAGGACCGAGTGACCTGAAGAACCTATAGGGAAAGACTGTTCCAGACCCTTTCAGGTGTTCTATCTGATTTCTGTGCATGACCCCTGGATAAAGAAAATCTACATTCTCTGGAAATTTGATTTAGCTATCAAAAATCACCATGGTAGGTAAAATGACCCAGCTAACTTGCAATTTTCATCCATTTTCACTATATCAAATTACCAGAGGGTAAATCCCATTAGATCCCATTAAACCACCATAAATCCCATTAAATCACATTAAATCCCTCTGGTAATCACATTAAATTACATTGGTTTCTGGGTGTCGCTTCAACCCATAACAGAGCCCACGCAGCCCACCAGGGCACACAATCGTTGCGCCGCTGTAGCCGCAGGAAGCTGCTGCCAGAAATGGAAGTTGTGGTCTCCTCCGTGGGGATTGCGGGGTGGGTCAGCGGAGAGTTCTTGAAAACAATCCTTAAACATCATTATATAGGTGTTAAACAATCTCATTCAACAACTGTAGGTTTATAAACATCATTAAACAATATCATTCAACAACTGTAGGTATAGGTTTAAGTTCCTTATCTTCCTTTACGGTTTTAGTATCCTTTACTGTTTCCTATAGTTCTGGACCAAGGCTGGTTTATGATAAAGAAAACAATTGAAGTTTAGGGATATTCAGCTCCATAGGGTCTTAAAGCTGATATGGGGTGACAGGGCCCTATCCCAAACTTTCTTGGATCAACCAGCAAACAACCTGCTCGCAAATTGGGCTTCATACCAGGGGGCCATGCTGCCCTCACTTCCATTAGTTCTTCTACGTTGTTCTCATATATTTCTATATGCCTAATTCCACAATTAAGCGTCTCGGGTCAAGCTCCCCCTTTTCAGCTTACCCGTCGAACTTAGCGGTTTGCAATAGCCGCGGGTTTCCCTTGTCGTGCATTGGATTAGTTGGTGACTTACCCTTTGCTGGTGTCCCGACACCTTAACTCTCGGGTTGGTAGACACTGATCTGCTACGCGCTGGTGTTCTACTTTGGGAACCTTTTGGACCTCTTTGTCCTCTTTGCTGTGTATGTCATTGGCACTTCTCTTTCTCTTCCGGATTTTGATTCTGATCGCTGTGATCCCGATCCTATTTGATTTTGGGTGGACCTTTAGTGATTTGACACCTTTGTTTGCATTTCATCACG